AACTGTCCGGGAAGGATGAGGAAAATAAAAGCTTAATCGAGTAAATTTTCAGACAAAGGCGTAGCCTTCACTTAAAAGTGTGTAGATTATCTGAAGATCTTATATTTATTGGAAGGTTATTCCAGAGGAATGTATACCTGGAAGCGAAACATAGAGAGCGCTTGGAGGTCGAGGAAGCGGGAGGAAGTGTAGCAAGAAAGAATTGCGAAGATTGTATGGGCGACTACTAGGGATAAGGATCGAAATTCGAGGAAGGTTTGAATAATTATTATTATTGCGAAAGAGGAGATAGAATCCTAATTCTAGTCTTCGAACCCATGAAAATTTCAGGAGATATTTGGATGCTCCATGCCTAAAGATTTTCTAGTAAAACGTCTTTGAACATTTTGGATTTTTGAACGACTAGCCTCATTCATCAAACCAAAGAATGGGCAGCAATACTCGAGAATTGGAAGTACAAACACTCGATAAAGTCTTGATTTAATTTCAGGAAGATAGAAATTGTAAGAAATAAAACTGCAAATCTGGCAGCTCTGGCCGTAATTCTGTCAGCGTGTGACAAGAGACCAAGATTATTTGTGTAGCTTAAACCTACATCCTTGATGGTGGTACATTCAGCCATAGGTGTGCCTTGAAAGACCACTGGTTGGGGTAGCCTATCAGGTCGAAAACGCATATAGCGACATTTAGACGGAGAGACTTCCACTAGTAATTTTGAGCTCCAAGCTGAGAGAGCAAGCAAGTCAGCATGGATTTACCCCAGGCAATGAAGGCTCACAGATATGTTGAAAGAATATACACATTTGAGATCATCGGCATAAATAAATGATTGAGAATTTTTAACTGCTGCCGAAATATCATTTATGTAAAGCAAGAACAAAAGAGGTTCTAAAACGGTACCTTGTAGGACACCACGTACAATAGGGCTTTCACTGGAAAATGAAGATCCCACCTAAACGTCTTGTTTACGATTAGACAGATATGACCTGTGAAAGTCTATTAGTGGACTGCGAATTCCCACAGCTTCCAATTTAACCAAGAGTCTTTTATGTGGTTTTTTATCAAAGGCTTTACTAGGATCAAAATAAATAACGACAACAGATAAATGATCTCTACGAAGAGAAGGAAGTAGATTGAGAAACGACATATGATGCGTTTCACAAGAGCGACCGGGTAAAAAGCCATTTTGGGAAGGGCTAATAACTTCATTGGCTATATCAAATTCAGTAATTTTCATGGCAATAATTTTTTTAAAGAGTTTGGCGAGAGAAGGTGTCTTATGGACACCTCGATAGTTGTGAACATTGGAGCGACAGCTAAATTTAAATACTGGAATAATAATAATAATAGAAGTTTTCCAGTAGTTGGGAAAGAGAACATTTTCGATAAAGACTGATAACTGTTCGCTGGGCAGAGAAGGAAAATCTCCTAACTGTTTGATAAGAGAGTTCGGGATGTTGTCAGTTCCTACTAACTGCGAGTTATATGGTGTGCTTACCCGTTTCTGAATATTTGTAGGAGCATAATTGATGGTAGTGACTGAGGCATCAGATATCGGACGAATTGAAGTGATTGGATCAGTCTCAATGGGGCAATGTTTGGCAAAGTATGAAGTTAACATGGCTGCTTTGCCTGACTTCTCTGTAATGAAAATATCGTTGGCACTAAGCAAAGGCGGTATGACTTGGTGGGACTTAGCAGATGATCGTTGACGGAAGGTCTAAGCAACTAATTGAGAAGCATTCACACTATAAGTAACTAAAGACTCTGTACACCTATCTCGCGCTAGCCTTATTTTCGAAGCTAATTCAAATATTTAAGCGATTCTTAGGCGAACCTTCAACGAGCTCTCGGAGGTATTTTAAGCCGCTTCCGTAGCTTTTTAAGAAACTGTGGGACAGTGAAGGAAGTGGTGTTGCGAGCGCTAAGGACACAACTCTCAATCCCAGACTCTGCATATCACGATAAGACCAGAGTTATGAAAGAATAAAAAATCAAATGTCAAACGACCTGCTAATCCAACAGATTGCGAGCGCGTCGAGTTGCGTTGTGTCCCTTCCATTCAATTAAACAACCAGTAAGTTCAAGAATTATTAACAGGTAGGTAAAGGCAAGACAGACTGGCGCCTCGGCACAGTACCCCCCTCCGAGACCGGAGGCCGGCGATAACTACGCCGAAGGATGTTTACAAGTCCGAAAGAAAAGAGTGACCAACCGATCAGGAAAGTATACGTGACGACTACTGCGAGTGATATATACAGGGTCCATAGAAGAGTGAATACTACATATAATTCAGTATATATATGAGGGATAGAGGCAGAGCCTTGGATAACCCTATTTACAGATAAACGTAGGAAAAAAACACGCACATGTTTACATAGCAGTTATGCCAGTCATTGATATCATGTAAATGTCTGACCATCAAACACAAATTTATCTAGTCTTCTCTTGAAAGTCTCGACGTTTTCCGCAAAGACAACGAGGTACGGCAATTTGTTCCATCCCTCAACCAGCCGGTGGGAAAATAATTTGACCAGCACTTCGAGTTTGGCATACTTCGTCTTCAGTTTGTATTGGTGCCCTCGAAGATTTGTCGTCCGCGCAAATTCGAAGAAATCGTCAAACTGAAGAGCACAGTCTAGCCCTCGGATGATCCTGAAGGCCATGATCATATCCCCTCTGTATTGTCTATAAGAGAGAGGAAATATTTTTAGCTTCTCCAGCCGTCTTCGTAAGGTAAGCTACTTAATCCGCCGACTAGCCTGGTCGCTCTTCGTTGTACGTTCTCCAGCAGGGTGTAATCCTTTTTCGTCCAGGGCCACCATGCCTGGACACAATATTCCAACATTGGTCGAACGTATGCGCCAAGTACTCGGCCGAAGGGTTCTTCATCAAAATTGACGAAGGATCTTCTAATCTCGCCTAGTATACTCATATCTTTCTTTGATACCTTGGCGCAGAGAGACGATGGTTTGAGAGTTGACGTCATCCACACACCGAGGTCTCTTAACTCGTTGACTGTTTCAAGTTGGTGACCTCCTATAAAGTACTGAGATTCAAATCTCAACGTCCTCCTGTTGCTCGAACGTAATCGGATAAGTTGGCATTTGTTCCGATTGAGGCTAAGACACCACTCATCACGCCATTCTTCCAAGCGATTCAAATTGTCTTGTAACTGTACAGAGTCTTCCGGCCTCTCTATTAATTTCCACAATTTGAGATCGTCGGCAAACATTATACGCTCGCAGTTCGGACAGTCCAGGCAGTCGTTCACATATATCAGGAACAGGATTGGACCCAGAACGCTCCCCTGCGGAACGCCACTGTGAACGGATGCCCATTCCGATCTAGCGTTTCCGATACACACAGGCTGAGATCTACCCGTAAGAAAATCGGCTATCCATTTCAAAAGATTTCCATTCACACCCACTTGACGTCGTTTACATATTAGTCATTTGTGTGGAACACTGTCAAAAGCCTTTTTGAAGTCAATGTACACGGCGTCGACTGATAAGCCCATGTCGATTGATTTCGTCCAGCTCTCCACGGATACTGGCAGGTTAGTCAGACACCATCGATCCCTTCGAAATCCATGCTGATGTAAACTGAGCAAGTTGTTTTCTTCGAGGTGCCACATCAGCTCCATTTTGATCACTTGTTCCATCAATTTGCAACATATGCTTGTGAGACGCACTTGTCTGAAACTGTTTGGGGCTGTTCTCTCGCCACCTTTATATATGGGGCTTATATTTGCTTTCCGCCAGTCGGTTGGCAAAGCCCCGGTCTCCATCGAAGTTCTGAAGATCCTGGATAACGGAGAGGCCAGTTGGTCGGACCGTTCATTCAGGACTTTTGCGAACACGCCGTCCGGACCAGGGGACTTAGTGGGCTGTGGTTGGCTCAAAGTTTTCCTTACCATGTCTGTTGTGAAGTCCACCGTGCTAATTGTATTGTTTAATTTGACAATTGGGGTGAACTCTTTCATCAAAACCGGCTCCTCAGTATACACAGACGTGAAGAAGTAGGACAACAGAGTCGCCTTATCTGAGTTGTCAGGCAACGTATTTCCCTGGCGATCTTTTAGGCAGAGAATGCAGTCCCGGTTGTGTTTTGCCTTATTCACGTTTCCAAAGAATTTTTTTGAATTTCGAGGGATAATTTTTAGAAGTTTTGACTCGAATCGTGCCCGGTCCCTCCTCAACAGATTCCGACATGCATTCCTATGTTTTTTGAAGTCAGCAAAGTGCTCTGATTGCTGACATCTGGCGTAATTTTTCCCAAAGTCTCCTTTTCAATTGAAAAGTCAAGTTGGCGAACACGCGTTTTCGGTAATTCTTCCTCAGGCCAATACAATTACAAGAATGAATGAAGGTTCTTCTTTATTTCTGACGTCAACCACTCTGGTTGACAAGTGCGCAGCTTCCTCTTCAGTGTTCGACAGCTCTCTACCAAGTGTTTCATTATGTTCTTGACGAAGAACCAATCGCTTTCTGGGTCAGGTCCTTGTGCTGGATTCCAGTTCACCTTCTGTAGCAGAGTTTTCATTCGGGTATAATCCCCTCTCCATACAGTTCTTTCCTCAGCAGCTCGAATTTCGGGTACAGAAATATGACTTTACCCCCAAACAAGAACGCAATGGTCACTTCGGCCAAGGGGCGTGTGCGATTCCAATCCAAGAATGCAACTATCATCCCTAGTGATGATGATTTGCAAACAACTGGACTGCTCTCTATCTCTGAATTGAGTGTCCATGTTAACATGTTGGGTAAGGAACTCAGTTGTGATCAGTTGCATACATTTCTGTTCGAATGATTTTTCTGATCGCGTTCAATGCATTAAATCCCACTCTATGTCTGGACAGTTGAAGTCACCAAGTAGCATTATGTGTTAGCTTCGATAAATTTCTGTTATCTTGGTGATAAGTGCATCGTCCGCATCCGTCCCCCGGCTTGGCGGTCTGTAAACCAGGGCCATATGGAGGTTTGGATGGTTTGGCACCTTCAAGTAACAACTGGGTATTTCACAATCAATGTGCCGAAATAGGAAGACTCAAACCTGACGTAGTCGATGCCATCTCGTATAAATATCGCAATCCCCAACCCCTTCGTTCGTTTCGGTCCATTCGGAGAATCTGGAAACCACCTCGTGGTAGAAGTGTTGGAGTTAGTGGCGGCAGTCGGAGGTAGCGCACGGGAGGGCAGAGGGAAAATACGGGACGGTGGAATAGAGGCTGCAGGTGGGGGAGCAGAAGGTAGAGGACCACAGGGCTCATCCGCAGGAGTGTCCGAGACGGCAGCCTTGAGGTGGTGCACACTCACGACCTCTTCACGATTGTCGCGTTGGATGCGGAAGGTCTTCGTCCCGCGAGAGCGCACCCGGAATGGGCCGTCAAAGGGCGGTTCCAGAGGCCGGCGGAATTGATCACATCGAAGGTGAACGTGAGAGCACATTGCCAAGTCCTTCTCGAGATAAGACGGAGAGGCGGAGGACCTGGGCAGGACCGGAGAAACTGTCCGCAAAGACTGCCGGAGAAGATGCAGGAGGTTGGTTGGATCCTCAACTGCACCTCGCGGGGTTGGCGAGATCATGTCACCGGGGAGTCGGACGGCGGCGCCGAACACCAGTTCAGCTGCGGAACAGTCAAGGTCCGGCTTGAGAGCGGAGCGGGTGGTCAAGAGGTCCAGGGGAAGGTGGTCCGTCCAGTTCTGCGGATCGGCTGCGGCGCGTTGGGTCCTTCAACTGGCAGTGAAACCGCTCGACCATCCCATTAGCAGCCGGGTGATAGGCTGTCGCCCGGATGCGGGTACAGCCTAAAGAGGAGAGGAAAGACTGGAAGAGGTTACACTCAAACTGGGCACCACGGCCAGTCGTGATTGTGGAGGGTGCACCAAAGGTAGCAATCCAACGACTGAGAAGAGCCTTGACCACCGCTGGAGTAGCAATGTCAGGCAGGGAAATAGCTTCAAGCCACCGAGTGAACCGATCCACGCAGGTGAAGAGATAGGAACGATTATTGGGCAGAGGTAGGGGCCTACAAGGTCGAGGTGAACGGGGCTGAACCTTGCACCAGGGCCGGGGAAGGTGCCAATTGGGGTCTTGTTGTGCCGATGGATCTTACTCCGTTGAAAGGCGATACAAGCCCGTGACCATGCTTTCAGGTCTTTGTGCATCCCAGGCCAAACGAAGCGGTCGGAAACCAGCTTGTCGGTTGCTCGACTCCCAGTTTGAGAGAGCTTGTGCAGAGAGGAGGAATCTTTGCGGTGGAGGGATGGTGGCACAAATGGACAATGCGAAGGGGTGGCACGTCGCATAAAATGGTGCCGTTGTCAGTTGTCAGTGGTAGTTACTGAAGTTACAGTCCGGAAGCATCCTCACCACAGGGTGAACCGATACGGCGATGTTCAGCAGCCATCTCAGTGAGGTCGATCCCGGTGAAAGCTGAATGTGGGCGATAGAGGGCCTGGACAGTGCGTCAGCCACCTCATTCCGTGACCCGTCAATATGGCGGATTCTGAAGTGAACTGCGAAATGTAGTCTAGGCGGCGGATTTCCCGGCTTAGTTTGTCGGAGTGAGAATGCTTAGCAAAGGTAAGCGGCTTCCTATCTGTAAAAATTGTGAACTCTCGACCTTCGAGTAACTGCCGGAATTGTCTTACGGCAAGATAAGCGGCGAGAAGTTCACGTCCGAATGTGCTGTAGCGGGTTTCGGCTTTGGATAGTCTCCTGGAGAAGAAAGCCAAAGGCACGGTAGAATCTGGCAGACTTTGTTGAAGAACCGCGCCAACAGCAACATTGGAGGCATCGACCATCAGAAAGTGAAAGGAGTCAGGAGGGTGGCATTAGCCAGAATGGCTTTTACCTGCTCAAATGACGTGAGTGCTCTTGGTGTTAGTTCAAAAATGCGCTTGGAACATGAGAAGAGACTGGTCAGAGGTAGGATGATATCGGCACAGTTCGGGAGAAACCGACGATAAAAAGTTCACCATACCAAGGAACCGTTGCAACTGACGCTTCAAGGTAGGGAATGGAAGGACCCGAATGTCGGCAACCTTTGAGGGAAGATGCCGAATACCGTTTGAGTCTATCAGGTGACCTAAGAACTCAAGAGAAGTGGCTCCCGAGAAACATTTGGCAGGATGCAGTGTGACCAAATTGCTAAAATCGGTCGAAAAGCTGGGCAAGGTGTTGGAGATGTTCCTCGACATCTCGACTGGCGACGAGGACCTCATCAATATGTGCACAAAGAAATGGAAGGCCAAGTAAAGCACGATCAATGAAACGTTTGAAAGCGCGTGAGGCATTTCGGAGACCAAATGGCATACGAAGGAACTCAAACAAGCCAAAATGAGTAGTCACTGCCGTTTTGGGAATGTCCTCAGCCGCAATCGGAATTTGATGAAAAGCACTGACCAAATCGAGCTTCGAGAAAACGGTTTTGCAACAGAGAGCTCCGGCAAGGTCCTGAAGGTGAGGAATCTGATACCGATCCGGCATTGTGATATTGTCTAATGCTCTATAATCGCCACAAGGACGCCAATCATCAGTTTTTTGTCTAAGAACCATGTGCAAAGGAGATGCCCAGGGACTGTCAGACTGCCAAATAACCCCATGTTGCAGCATGTGGTCAAATTCAACTTTCCCAGCCACAAGACGGCGATGACGAGAGAAAACGGGAGGACCAGTCGTTTTTATGTGATGAACAATATCATGGGGCCATGTGGTGTCAGAAAGTGAGGCCTAATGAGAGTAGAATATTTTGCTAAATGTCTACGAAATGGACAGTCAGGGTTTGGGTCAAGGACGGATAGATGGTTAGAAGCTGAGGATGGAGGAAATCCTTTGACGGTGAGGGTAGTTGCGCGATCATGAAGGCGAAGTTGCCTGCAATCCACCATGAGGTCAAAGGCGGTCAAAAAATCAGCACCAAGGATGGCGGTGGGAACATCAGTCACCGCAAATATCCAGGGGAATAATCGCCTGAGACCAATATCCAGGGGGAGGGAGCGAAGTCCAAAGGTTGTAATTGGGGATGTGTTTACGGCTAGATGGAATAGACCATGGTTTGGGCAACGGCGGTCGGCTGGCGTGGGAGGGATAACACTAATTTAAGCGCCCGTGTCGACTAAAAAATTCCTGCCACTCGTGTTATCACTGATGTAAAAGGTGCGACCCGTAGAGTTGCCAGAGAGCTCGGCCGCAGTTATTCTCCGGCCGAGGAGTTTCCCTGCGTGGGCCTGAAGGAGCAGGGTGGGACATAGCGCCGCGCCTTGTTGCCATAGTTGAGATGATTCCAGCATAGGTTTGCGGTCCTGGAGCGAGAGTGTGACGACGATGGTCAAGGCCAAAGGAACGTCGAGAGGGACCGGCGGAAAGGCGCAACTGCAAAGCGGCAACAGTCGCCGACAAATGGGCAGTCTGTGTCTTGAGTTCAGCCAGATCAGAGGTAAACATGGTTAGAGGCTGGGAAACCTAAGCAATCGTCGGGGATGACAAGCGCTCAACCTTCATCATACGGTCGGTCATTTCCCCTAGCTTTGATATGCCTAGGTCATCTGGGTCAGAGGCCAAGACTGTTTGTACCGATGTCAGCAGACGTTCTAAGAACATCTATTTTAAGAACTTGTCGTCGATTGCCATGTTCACAACGAGAGAACGCATACGACGCAGGAGTTCCGACGGCTGACGATCAACTAAGGCCTCTTCTTTTGCCATTGCGTGATAACGCTGCCGATCTGAGACTGATGTCAGGCGAAGGAGTTCAGCCTTTAAATTCGTGTAGGGAGCATCAGTCGGGGGATCTCGCAAAAACGTCTGAACTTGGGAAAGAATGGTAGGAGGAAGGGCCTCGACTAACTTATAATATTTGTCTGTTTCTCGTGTTATCTTGGCGGAGTGAAATGTCGCCTCAATACAGATAAAATAAAGTTCTGGCGCATGTTGCCAAAAGTCTGGGAGAGACACAACAAGGCCACTGAGAGAAGTGGTGGAATCGTTGGAATCCGTGAGGTCATGATGGCAGAAATAAACAAAGTGGACGGACATTATGAAAACAGAAAGTCAACAGATTAAAGGTATAAGCGCGAACGTCAAAAGGTCACCACTGTTGCGAGCGCTAAGGACACAACTGTCAAGCCCAGACTATGGAGATCAGGGTTAGACCAGAGTCGTGAAATAATTAACAATCAAATGTCAAACGACCTGGCAATCCAACAGATGCCGAGCGAGTCGCATTGTGTTGTGTTCCTTCCCTTCAGTTAAACAACCAGTAAGTTCAAGAATGATGAACAGGTAGGTAAATGCAAGATAGTCTGGCGCCTCGGCACGGTGGTACTCAATTTAAACGTCTTACGTGCGATTAGGTCGAGAAGACCTGCTGTGTACTGTAATAAATCGTAGATAAAATTTAGATCATTATTTGAAAAAACGCTGTGCCAATCAAGAGTGCTTGTAAAATGATTTATTATTTCCAAAAGGTCATGAGGTTAAGAACCTTCTGGAATTTAGGAGAGGAAGTATGGGTGTGCCAGTAAATTTCTGGCAAATTAAAATCTCCCACGATTAGCTTGACATCTAATGAGGTCTCTGCGATTTTTTCAAACAGTTCACATAGTTGGCCTTCACTTCCGTAGTAACAAGGAGGATTATATACACATCCGATTAAGACTTTCCTATATTACTGATGGATTACCTAAGCTTAACATGAATATCAAGAGAAGGAAGGAATGTTAAGTTCATAAGGCGACTGTGCAAGTGAGGTTCTGATGTGAAGAACACAATCATCACCACGTTTTTCAACAAGATTCTAGCGGTATAAGCTGAGGCCACCCATAGCTAGCGCCGAGTGTGAAATTAAAGAGTGAGCCCAAGATTCCGTAACACACAATACATCTGGATCGAACTCAAAGGCCACACTTCTTAGATGTGACATCTTTTGCATGGCTGATTTTGCGTTGACAGAAGCCGTACTGAGAGTTTTCCTAAGATATAGGTTTCGCTTACCACTTCTTTTAAAAAATAAGGAAGAGCTAGTGGTGAAAATTAATCTGTAGACAAGAAGTAAGGAGTGGAAAACAAAGTTGCTGTTGTATGGAATTTGTGGGAATATTACCACTAACTAGAGATGCAGCATTGTCTGGAAACACATTTGGGCAGGACCTACGAAGAAGAATGCTATTTCATGGAGTTGGAAAAATAGGAGGCATAAAAATAGGATTTTGGGAATTTTGAGCATAATATGAGGGGTCCTAGTAAAAGTGAGAGCAGCATGCGAGCAACTATCGCTTTTGGAGGTGTTTCAAAGTGGCAAATTTCAACTGAATCAGTGATTGTGTGCTCGTTTGAAGAACTAAATGGTCCTAGAGCCGTTGCAGCTAGAGAGTACACTTGTTTGACGCTCGATGGAGAATCTGCTTCAGAGGCAAATGACAGATGAGTAGAATTTTGGGGCGGCTTTACGTTTGTTAATGAAGGGGGACACTCTTCTTCGCAATGGGCTTTTACCCCGACTGATAAGAAGCTTATTTCATCTAAGATATTCAGCCTGGCGCTCCAAATGGGAGAAAACAAGGTCCACTTTTATCGACGAAAATTGTTTAACAAGAATTGGTGACTTTTGCTTTTAGCTGAAAGTCTTTTGCTTCGGCTACCTTAAAGTTGAAGCCTCACGAATAAAGCGGAAAACGACATCGATCGGCTGTCTACCCTTAGGACCGTTTTTAAAAATATAGTTGAAACTTCGCTTGTGCCTGTCTTCGGTCTCACTAACAATCAGGTCAATGAGGGGCATGAGCTTCTTACGTTGCTCAGACGTAAGTGTTGGCAACCTTCCTTTAAGGAGGGCACAAAGAACAGAAATATTTGATCCGTAACGAGACATAAAAGTGTTAAGATTATCGAGCGCTCCTAGGTTTGTTTTTTTCATATGTACAATGGGTTTCAAATAGAGTTTAGTTTCCTTTAGATTTCGACGAATGGTTGCCTGAGGATTAATTTCGGAAAAGCAAAGCAAGACTTTAGACCAAAAATGTATAGTGATGACAGATGCGAAAGTACGAGGATATAAAGATGAGGCAATGTATGCTGAAACAATATCTAAAGGCTATCAGTATTGGTGGACCAGACAGTATAATTGATACTTAGCAATTTTTACTCAATAACAGAATGCAAACTTGAAAAACAAACGGGTAAATGACAGTTTTGTGGGTGGCAAAACAAAATTGCGAGTAAATTTGTATTGGCTAATGAGTCTATGTAGGATAAAATAGAGAACAGTGTAGTTCTCTTACTAGCCAATAAATCGACAATAAAAACGGTCAGTGGAAACGGTTTGTCGTTTAAAATATAATGTTATTCAAAATTTTAAGAGGAAAACTTTTTTATATATGCGGATAAAACCTAATAGGATTGAGGCTGTGTTGGGTGAAAAACCATGACGCTTTATTTCCCCTTTATGATAAATCGACAAAACACGACGGGAAGCTGAGATGACTTATGACAAAACATAGCAAATTTTGCCAGATCTACACTGAAAAACTGCGAGAGATTAAGAAATTGAATTCAACAATATAAATTGCATTAATCTTTTCAAAATCGTGTTGCGCGCGCTGACCTTGTGTCCGGCGCGTCACCATCAGGGAAGTATTGGATGGAATTATCGTCCTCACTGGTCCTTCTGGTACAGTTTTAGGACCACACACTAACCACCGTCAAAATTACGGAGCCAGTGAGCTGCCTAGTCGGTTAAGATTCTCTTGAAATGTGTGATCGACTGCGTCAGGTCTGATAGCTCTTCACAGTTTAGTTTCGTCAGCAAACATGACGGCTCTGTATCTCAGGTTGTTTACACAGTTGTCGACATAAACTAGGAGGAGCAACGGCCCTAATACTGAACCATATGGGACCCCACTTAGAACAGGGATAGAGGTTGACTACGGGGCACTAATGCGCACGGTTTGCGATCCCCCTGTAAGAAAATCTGCACTCAGTGCCAGCGGATTTCGTCATATTCAAATTTCAGATAGTTTATAGATCAGGTGTTTGCGTGATAGTCTGCCGAACACCTTGTTGAAGTCAGTGTACATTACGTCGACGCTGCTATCGTCGACCAGTGCTCGGTGGAGAGAAGTAAACCGGAAAGATAAGGGCTATTCTGTTTTAAATCGTAGTTCCGCCATAAAAGCAAGTATTTCTCCTGCAGGAACTCAATTATTTTCTTCTTAAATATTGTTTTAAATATTATACAACAGACATTCGGGCAAAAGTTTAAGTCCTGCCCCTGCATTTTCCGCAGATATTTGCTGCATTTATTCTAACGGCAATTTTCCCAGTTCAAATGACGAATGAAACATAGGCGCTAGGGTTTGGAAAGCTCTTTCGTCAGTTCCCTCAAGAACGTTGGCGCTATATTGCTCGGGCATAACGACTTCGCTTTTTTGAGATTCTGCAGCCCTTTTTCTACGACAGATGCCGGGATTGGCGTTTGCAATATCACTGTTGTTTTTTCAGAAGGACTATTCTCCAGCAGAATGTCTGAAACGCCGCGAATTAGTGACGGGGCTGAAGAGGAGACTTGCAGCCGGACAGAACTACTTGGCTATTTTAAGGGTACGAGTGATATAGGGGAATGCGGTGTTGCTCTGGAACCAGCCAGTCACCATGATGGCGGCAGCAACATAATATTGGCAAACCTGTGACAAATCGGACGAAGCACTTTTAAATGTTGCAAACTTAAATTCTTTACACCAATTCTTAGTCTGTTTTCTAAGCTTGAAGAACTAAGAATACAGGTAGCCGATACGTCTCCGGATATTATAGCAATAACAGAAACGTGACTGTCCCAGAAAGTCGGCGATTGCGAAGTAGCACTAACAGGATACCAATAGTTTAGGATAGACAGGAGAGGCCGCCGGGGTGGAGGAGTTACCATGTATGTAAAGAACGACTTAACAGTGCCTGAGAGGACCGTCAAGATTTCCGACAACATAGAGACAATTGGGCTGACTATAAAGGCATAAGAGTCGCAGTCTCTCGAAGCCGTTACTATTTAACGGCCCCCGCAGGTGGATCCCGACCCAGAAAGTTGTCTATCGAAAAACATAAAAGAGATCACCAGTCGACCAGACGTTGTCCTAATGGGGGATTTTAGTGCACCCTACACTCATTGGAGAGATATTCATGCGAAGTTCTCGAAATATACCTTCGATTGTCGTCTACTAAGAGCAATCCTAGAAGCTCTTCCCATGCAAAATGTTCTGTTTTCAACTAGAGTGCGTGGAGGGCAACAGGCTAGTTGTTTCGACCTCGCCTTCACTAAAGATCCTGACAGTATGGACGAGGTGTTCTACCAACCCCGTTCGATTAAAGTGATTACGCAGTACTTTTATTGGATAACGAGCTGTATTCTGAACCGTATACAAAAGACGATACAAGGCTAAATATAAGGAAAGGGGACT